CTGCTCCGAAGAGGTAGGGGAGGAGCTAGGATATATAGGAGCTTAACAACAAATACCAGGTAGTTGGAACAATAAAAGATTACTTGTTACCTAAAGAAAACCAGGCATCTCAAGTTAAAGTTGTGCTTTTCTGTGTATGGGAGGAAGCAAACATTTGGGCTCATTGAATTAATTCCTTTGACAAGCATCTAGCTATCTAGGGCCATTATTTTGTCCTTTATTATTGTAAGTCTGCTCAGAGTGCACCATTGTAAATGGCTGCAGAGGCTGGGCTACAGGCCTGTCCTCACTGGGGGGGTGGCGGCAGCTGCTGCTGACTTGGTTTCAGCATTTTTTGTTTAGAGATATGTTTGCAGTATTTTTGTTCACAACAGTCTTGTCCTTGGCACAGTTTATTTTGGATGCAGTACCAAAAAGGCCACGATTGCAGTATACTTGGTTTCTCATGTTTCCGGAATGGCTGAGGGACTGGGGTGGGGAATTTCTGGGCAGCCTGGCAGCACTTCTTGTTAATGAATGGGGAAGTCTGACATGAGTCCAATCTTACTCAACTGTTAGGAAATCAGTGGTGATCCCTTGGAATACGCAGAGGTACTAAGCAGCTTCCATTCAGTTTTAATTCAGTGAAGTGAATGTTAGAGGTGAGAGACTCGGATCTATAAAGCAGCATCTCTTCTATTTGATTTTTAGTGCTAAGAGCTTGGGTGGGTGCTGTGGGATCAAAGACATCTTTATTCCCTGCTTCCTCACCATGCACGTAAATAGTGATGTCTGCTGACCGACTTATGCCCTTTCTGTGAGCTTAAAAGTCAGAGGTCAAGTTCTCTTGGTGCTTTCTGAAGGCTCTAGTGGAGGAGGTTTTTGTCTTCCAGTTCTCCCCTTCCAAGAAAGCTGCTGTTTTTATACATAGCATTATTGGGAACTAATCACAAAATGAGAAACTTTGAATTTACAAAAAAGAACATCGCTTACTGCAGCAGTATGCTGGCCAGGTTTGGCTGAAGTACGCATGGTGTAAGTTTAGTTCTTTAGCTTTGGAAAAAGACAGTTTACTACTTGTATAGGGTTGAAAGGTGAATGTTGGCTTGGTGAGAGTGGAGGACAGTGTCTGTGAAACCCCTATTAGGGCTTTAAAAAGGACAGGAAGTGATTCTCTAAAGAGTTGAGTGTTTGAGGCAGAAAGGGAAGTCTTTTACCTTAATATTGTCATCTTTATTATGTGAATCTCTCTGACTTGAATAAAATACTTTGTAAGGCAGGGAGCATTTGAATGTGTGAGGAATTGGAAGACCTAGATCTTTGTTGTCTCACTCTTGTGATGCCTTTTATTCTTTTGCTAGTTGAACAAATGTATATGGAACAATTAACGTTTATTGTCCCCTGGAGACACAAAGAGCCCTCGGCTATCATCAGGAATATCATAGGTATAATAAACCATCTATTATACTATAATACTATATTGAGATCAGAATGGAGTATAAAAAGTTGGCCAGGAATGATAAAAATATATTTATTGTCTAATTCCTCTTGCACTTTAAATTTAAGGTTAGAGTGACTTACATTTTTATGTGTAAGGACTGGTTTCCAGTAAAGACTTAAACTGGGAAATTAGTGTCCTCAGTCTTCGTGCTTATTGCTGGTAGGTCATCTTGTATGTGTTATTTTTGGTTTGGTCCCATTTATCACTAATAATTAAGTGTCTATTAAAATTCCTAGGTAATGAAATGAGGCTATAAATTAATTATTGAAATTTTAACAGATTCCAAAGAGCGGAAGGAGGCATATATGAGGCTGGAGAATCTTGCATGTATTGTCTGTCTTTACATACAATTTTTCTTTGCTTTAAGATAAGAAACATTGAGGAAA